AAACAGAAATCACCTTGCTAATCAACTGGGAATACAGATGGAAAAAACAATTAAAGTAATCAGAAGCCATCAATATTTACTTCACACAGCAAGTTTTTAATTGTCACTTAAAGACAATCCAGCACAAGGATTTAATTCAACAATTTAATTCAATTTTTAACTAGGGATAGAAAGACTGTTCATCTCAATCTCAAAGATTATGAGCTGCTTTTTCACTTGTCTGGCAGTGAAGCATCCTAACTAGAAATCTTAGAGCATGGGCTTTCCAGGAAACTGTCTTGGAAAATGTAGTATCTGTATTTTTTTAACTATTCAGTGAAAATGATGATGCATTTAATGACTGAACATCCATGAGCAGTTCTCAAACAAGCAAGCAGGAAATTTGGCAGCAAACAGGAAATTTGGAAAGCGGCTCAATGGGGAATACAGATCTGTAGGTACAAACTCAGCAGCTCCAGGCCAACACCAGAAACGTGTTGTGTTATAAACATTCACCAAATGCAGGGGGGGACACCTATGTATTATTTTACTTTCTACAAAATCCTGCCTAGTGGACTTGTTGCATAACTCATTTGAGATGTCTGGCCTCAAAATCCATTGCTGAGCCTTGCTTGAACTATTTTGCAGACAGATATACTGCTTAAAGCTGTCGTGACCCCCTGCCTCCACGGCAGCAGAGCAGGCTCTCTGGGGAAAGGGATGGAAGGAGCAATCTTCCTCTGTGGTGACTCAGCTGGAGAGGAACTGGTGGGGCATCAGGGCAAAATTTGAGAACTAGAGATGATCTTCCCCTCCCCACTGCAGGGTGTTGCGTTAAGGCCCATTGCTGGAGATTGACTGAAAGGGAAGGAGGCTGCCAAAACCTTTAAAAAAGCAACTGCACAAAAAAAATACCTTTCCCAGTATCAAATCTTGAAAGTTGGGATAATCTTAGAAAGAATTGCTGGAGAAACCTTCACCTCCCCTCATCTTTGAAATCAGTAAAAGAAAATCAGGGGGTTTTAAGACAGCCTGGATTGGGACTAATTCAATTAAATTGAACCCAAAAGCTGCAATGGAGATGATGGATTTGTGATAATGGACTTTTGTAGAGAGACGACATTAGTGCCTGTTTAAGATGATTTTTCTTGGTATGCCACAGGCAATGAAACTTGGCTGTGGTTTTTTTTCTGAGCATTCTTACTAATGAGTTAGGGACTTTACATCCCTTTCCTGAGAGATTTCATGTGACAGCTTCTGTAGGGTACCAGTCTCTCCCCTTCAGTGCATGATCAGCAAGCAAAGAAGCTGTTTGTTGACTGCAACACCTCCCATCTTTGAATTACACTAAGCTCCAGATTGATGCCTTTCCCAAACTGACCACTGCAATGGAATAATCCATCCCCTGTCAGCAGAGACTGGGACATAGCTCAGAATTAATGGGCTGAAGCTCAAACTAGATAAGCTCAAGATAATGTTTATAGGTCAAAGGAAACAATTGAAAGGAACAGCAAACATGATGCCATCATGCACAAATGGTGGAGTTTATCTGCCCCTTGTTTTAAAGCCCAACCATCTGCCTGTTGCAGGACATGCCTGGTTGAGAGCAGTTTTCATAAATACTCGTTTTGAATGCCACGCGCATCCATCTCTGGCCAAGTTCAGACGCCTTGTTTAATATATCTGTTCTTTGTGAAAATATTTGCCTGCGCATCCTAGCAAAGAGGATTGTGCATAAACACCATTCCTGGTGGTGATATTGATGTCTGTCTACACTTCAGATATAGTACGGTCTCTGCTTTTCCCTCATTTGAAGAGAGCTGTGGACTGAGTGGCCATCACTCCGATTCATGTGCACAGAGAAGCTATATTTGCAGTGCAGAAGAAGGTTACTCTTAGCAGTACACTTGCTATTTGCAGGGAGCTGACATGTATAGATATACATTAATGCTTTCTGTTCAGTATACCCGAATTTCAGCAGACATCTAAGGCATTTTTCCCAGTTGCTCTGAGTTGAAATCAGCCTGTATTTTGTGGTTTGATTACTCCTTTCTCCCTTCCTCCCAAAGAAATCCATTGCAGCATTGTTGATAGGACTTTATTGTATTGCAATGTATTTAAAAGCACTCTCTTATGGTTTTGCTACACTAGCACACTTCTTTGAGATGCAGAGAAGCCCCTTATTAGAGATCATCCTTTAGGGATTCTACATCCAGCCAAAATAGCTCTCAGTTTGTGGATTACTGCATGTTCTGATGTTCAGGCTTTGCAAGACAGAATTTTCTTTAGTAATCCACAATTGTGAGATGGAGCTTTTGCTGTTCCACAGGCCCAAATCAGTGTCAAAGGTCTTTCACAAGTAAAAAAAACCCCAAAACCCCAAGAGATTCAGCAGCAATATGCTCATACCCCCTCTGGGTTCACTTCCCATTTAGAAATAGTGAGTACTTGCAAATTTTGAGCTGGTTTTATGAATTATTCACAACAGAAAAAGGATTCTGAGTTGCATTTGTACAATGAGAAAACACAGATGATAGATGGTTTCACATGTCCAATGAAAAATCAACCATCGCAGCTTGAATTTTGAATACCGATACCAAACTGCTAATGAATAATTTGCAGATCAGGAATTTTTAAGTGAATAATTTTAAACAAATAAATTTGAGAAAATCAGACAAGTGGTTCATCTGCTTCTTTTGGAGCAGCTAATTCACCCATTCACTCCCTTCTGTAGCTCAGTTGCAGTGATTTGGTTCTCAAAGGACCAAAAAGAAAATGTAAATTGAAGGAAAAAGTGTGCTGGAAAAATGATAGCATGTTACTCTGCCAATTCAGAGTGCCAGGGTGTGTGAGCAATAGGGTAGGAGAAGAGCATCTGTTAAACCCGCTAAAAATACAGTACCAGGTTCTCATAATCTGCATTGGGAAATGACTTTGAAGAAAAGAATGGAGCATGGGGAAAAGCTTTCTTCATTGAGAACACTAAAGGGCAAGTGATTTCCTTGAGTCAATTAATAACTAAACCAACTTAAGGGTGGCACAACTTTTTGGCTAGATCGGGAGCCTGCAAAAGCAACATTTAAATGTGGGTTAAGAAAATAAAAACTTCTAGGTCAGTAAGAAGGCTCTGGGGTGGATTTGCTGGGGATAAGGGGAGTCTCAGGGGCCCATGGCCCCCTTTCCCCTGTAGCACTGTTTTATACCGTAAGTGGTCTGGATGTCTGGCAGGGGAGGTGAAGCCCCTTTCCCCAGCCCACCCGGGGCCGCCTCTACAATAAGCCATTACCCTCACAAACCCCACACTTAAAAACCAAACTAATTTTGTGCCTAATTTTTTGGGTTACATAGTGACTTTGCATTCTTGTGTAGCTCCTGTTCCAAGGGGGCTTTTCATATGGAGAACAGGCTTTAGCTTAGTTTCTATTTTATTCTCTTTGGTATTAATTAGATGTAATGCTATAAAGTATGTATTTCTAATAAACATGGAACTCCTTTCAAACTGTTAATGATGCAGCAGAGCTCCAAACTGTTTCAGTGAATTCATCATGTAATTGTTCCTATCAGGAAGACCTCTACTTACAGCTGTGACAATATTCAGCCCTCATCCAGCCCTTCTAGTCTTTAGAAGCTCATTAAAACAATAACTCCAATATCAAATTCTTGGAAGCCCATATAACTCTTTAGGTGAGTCCTATTAGTCCCATCTTACGGATGGAGAAACCAGGAAAGAAAAGCTATGTCACTCAACCTAAACCACAGTGAGCAGAGTTTTCAGGGTTGGGCTATAACTTAGGAACTGGTGGTTTCCCATTCTGTGGTTTGATAATTAAAGCAGGCCTTCCTCTTCTATTGAAGCTAATCTGTGAAAAATAAGTGCCTTCCCTTTAAGAGGTTTCCAAGCATGTATGCAAAGAGGAATTTATGACCTACAATTTATGTAAAGAACTTCCTTTTCATAAATCAATTTGTTAAAGCTCTGGAGAAGCTTCCAAAGGCTCTGATCCAGCAGTGCACTTAGACATGTCCATAACTTCAAACAAGTAAATCGTCCCATTGAAGTGCTTTCCTGGACTGGGGCCAAAGAAAGTGCAGTTCTCCCCTGAGTCAAGGTTCAGACGTAAAATGGGGAAAAATAATTTATCAAAAGTTTAATAAGTTACACAGTCATGTCAGAGCTCTGCCAGCCTTCCACATTAATACCTCAAGCTAATAAGAAATGGCCTCAGGGAGATAATTGCCTCCTCATTGGTACGCTGTGATGAAACCTTAAACCTCATCTGGAGGATGCGGTGTTGCTGACTTTTCCTGAATTTGGCAGATCCCCCATCCAGGCAATGTGAAACTTTGGAGGGGACATGCCTGGTGCTAGCAGCACTCCTGGGGCATGAGCTCCCTTTTGTTCTGCTATTACTCACTTTTGAGGACTCGCCTCATTGGAGGACTAAGCCTTGTGATATTTCAAGGATTTAGAGCATTGCGTAAGGCTTTGCAATAGTGAAATCACTTTGACGAGAGAACTATTCACACCTTCTTCTGGACTCCTTCACTGGTAAATACTTGGGAGACGGTACTGAACATACTGTTACGCGCCGCTGGCAGCCTCGCCAGGAAACTACGCCAAGGACAGCTTCTCTAATCTGCTGAAAGACTTGTGTGTCGAGGTCAGGCGCGGAGCAGTCAGAGGTAACCAGACCTTGTGCTAGCCGGGAGTGTGGAACGAGATGTTAAATGCTAAAAGAAAGAGCGAGTTCCTAGGGACGAGAAGGGAATGTGACTCCAATTAGCAGGGTGACACCTCTATGTAATGACACAAAGTGGTCTTCTCCGCTCTGGCACGCCGATCCCTGGGGATACACTATGTCACATAGCAAGACCTCCTTTGAGCTATGCCCAGGGCTGTTACTCAGAGTCAGAGTGACAGCTGTCATTTTGCAAACGCAAAGCTGCCAGCCTTAACAGCCCGTTCTTATGCGTTATAAAACCCAACACAAGAAGCATCAGAGTTCCAAAATGTTACTTACATCTACAATAAGGAAGTCCAGCCAGCACCAGGCATTGGTGAAATACTTCTTAAAGCCATAAGCCACCCATTTCAGGAGCATTTCCAAGACAAAGATGTAAGTGAATATTCTGTCGGCATATTCCAGCATGGTTTTTATGTTTTTTCGATCTTCAAGGTAAATATCTTCAAAAGCCTGGAAGTACAAAAGATTGATTAAAACTCCCCTAAGCTGTGTTGGAAAGCATCAGTGCTGATGGGATATCATGTACTGTCTGTGATTTCTGATTTATTTTAACGTCACCATCAGAAAGAGTGCAGAGGCACAAATAGGACTGACACTAACCTAATAGAG